ACCACGACCACGACCACGACCACGACGACGACCACGACGACGACCACGACGACGATGACGACGACGACCACGACGACGACGACGACGACGACGACGACCACGACGACGACGACCACGACGACGACGACCACGACGACGACGACCACGACGACGACGACGACCACGACGACGACGACCACGACGACGACGACGCCGACGACCACGACCACGACGACCACGACGACGACGACGACGACGACGACGACGACGACGATGACTACCACTACTACTACTACTACTACTACTACTGCTGCTACTACTACTACTACTACTGCGACTACGACGTCGACAACAACAACAACGACAACAACAACAACAACAACGACAACAACAACAACAACCACAACAACAACAACAACAACAACAACAACGACAACGACATCCACAACCACAACCACAACAACAACAACAACAACAACAATGACAACAACGACAACGACATCCACAACAACAACAACAAGAACAACAACAACAACAACAACAACAACAACTACTACTACTACTACGACTACTACTACTGCTACTACTACTACTACTCCTTCTGCTGCTGCTACTACTACTACTACTACTACTACTACCACTACAACAACAACAACTACTACCAACACTACTACTACTACTACTCCTCCTCCTCCTCCTCTCCTGCTGCTGCTGCTGTTGCTACTACTACTACTGCTGCTGCTACTACTACTACTACTGCTACTACTACGACGACGACAGCTACTACCACTAAACTACAGGTAACTATGATTAGTATTTCTACTATTACTAGCCCTCCCCCCGCCCTACCAACTATGTTCCCTGAAATGTCCGGGGGGCTGTCAAGGAAAGTGCCTTACCCACTCCTTCCCCACCCCCCTATCCCCCCCCCACTCACCCTGTCCCCCCCCACCCTACCCCCCTCCCCCCAATCAGCACGCGTTACGAAAGTACGTAACTTCTGGCGTTCCATGCAAGCCAGTATTTCTTCAGTTTTTACCTCTTTTAACATGCGCAATCTGCGAAACATAGTTGGTAGGGAGGGGGGGCGCCGACGACGACTACTACTACTGCTGCTACTACTACTACTACTACTAATCCTGCTGCTGCTGCTGCCGCTGCTACAACAACAACAACAACAACAACTACTACTACTACTACTACGACTACAACTGCAACTACTGGATATAAATAAATGATAATAAGAATCAGTGCGGACAACGAAAAGATTGCCTGGCCTTGATGTCCCGCGTAAGGTTTAACAGCGTCCCGTGCGTATAGTCATTCAGAGACTTGAAATCTTTGACAGCTTCACCAACCCTCTCATTCACGTACTCGATCATGTCTCCCTTTGTGGCATGTGCATCGAGAGGGTTTGGGGCCGGCTTCCAAGTCGCACTCTTGTCCAGCAACTGCGCTTCCCGAGTCGACTTGGCCGCCTGGCGCTGGCGCAGAAGTTCGGCCTCGTCCGGCTGTTGCCCGGAAGGTCCCTTACGAACTGAGGTGCCCCGGCCACCTCGGAAGGCCTGGTTTCTTTGATGACGGAACTTCCGCAACACCATCAGGGCTGTACGAGCCACTTCCTCTTCCGTGTGTTCCGGAACTTGTAGGAGATCGGCATCCGCAGGGATTGGTGCAACCTTGTGCTCTCCCTCCATGTGCCTTCGCTTCCACTCCGTCAAGTTCCGGACTTGATGTCCCAAGTTGTGGATTTCAGCCTGCTGGAGCTCCATCACCGTTTCCATCTGGGCCAATTTGAGCACCATGAACTCCAAGTCGGCAGCCAAGCCCCCCAAACCCTTCTGGCCCAGGTCCTCTGCGTTTCTGGACCAAACTGTACAAGACTCTACATACTCTACTCAACCACTGTAAACCTCGTTCTTCACGGTACCCTATACTCTGACGAGTCCTCTGTTCTGTCCTCTGGCTGGGTTTCCATCTTGGCATTGTCGATGCTGGCACCTAATTCTATCTAATTCTGATAGCCGCTACAGCTGGAGCCATTTAATCATCGCTAGTCTTGACACCTGCTGCTGCTGCTGCCGCTTTAGCTACTGCCACTTGCCACTGCCACTCCTCCTAGTACTACTACATAACTCGCACTACTAGTAGTCCTTGTACTCGTGCTTGTGCTAGTACTAAGACGCGTACTTGTAGTGCTACTCCTGCTCCTCCCCTACTCCAACTCTTACTTCCCGGGCCACCAACCTGAACGGCCTGCACGGGGCTTGTTCCCAATTAGAATCCCTTTTCAGGTGCCCAGCTTTCTAAATATCATATTGGGCTTAAGGTTCAGGGTTCTAAGGTTGGAAGTTTCGGGTTTTGGGGCTTCGGGTTCCATGCTACCGACCCCAAAGAAGGACCACATTGTAGACGACCCCCACATGCAAGACCTCACCCGTGGCTATGGTGCAACTCCCTCAATCAGAAGATCAGACTGTCACCAGCGAAACCGAAAGTCCATCTCTTGAACGACAAGAACTGTTGCTTGATTCCTGTTGGCGATCTAAGAATTCGCTGGAAACCTTTCATGTATGTCTCTGTCTGTACTGCAAGCCGGGAACGGTCGCTGCGGCCCGCAAGGTCCCCGGCGAGGCCGGTAATGTCCCTCACGGTACTGCCTTGCACCTTCCTAGACAGCAGCGAAGTCCCGGTAGCCGCGCAAGGGGCCTCCGAGCCCCCTTCACAATCACCAGAAGCTGGAAACGCCGAGGCAGCGCCCATCAAAATCAGGGCCAGGGCCCAACCGGTAGCATGGAAGCCTGGCCACATTGAAATGGCAGGCTCAAGTGTGCTAGGCCGAAACAACGTTTGAGCCGAAGATGCTTGCCAACATGCAGAAGCATCGGGCAAAACAGCACCGACTCCTGAAGGGATCGCGCTTTCAACGTACACGAAGCTTGCGCAGGCACACAACAAACTTGAGTCCAGACTCAAGACATGTGCCCCAGGTACGCCGACCCATGCTCTCTGTGTGAGGCGTAAGCCCTAAATCTGACAGCCCAAAACCTGGAACCCTAAAGCCCCAAAGCGACATCCAAGGACCCAAGTCTAACAACCGCGAACCCCCACACCCCATAACCTTGAACCCCAAACCACAAAAACACCACGCTTCGGAAGCCGCAGCCTTACCAAACAGTATGAAAAAACCCGGAACCCTAGAGCCAACAAACATGCGGTAGGCACGGCATCCCCGGAAGGTGGACTTCGTTGGCACCTCGCTGGGGGATCGATGCAAAAGCGGCGATAGGGCTTTGGGTTCAGGGCTGTGCGGCTTATGGGTTCATGGTTTTGGGTTCCCGGCTTCAAGTGTTTGGGGGTTCAAGGATTGGTCAGCAACTTCAGAAGGTTGATATAAAGGCTTAGCACTGGCTTCCGGGTTGAGTTTCAGGCTCTCGGCTTTGGCTTGAATTCTGGATTCCTGTGCATCTATGATCATGTCGCGTTGTAGGCTTGAAAGTCAGCAATTTCCCTGCTCGCTAGATCTAGCACCTTCCGGTTTGAGCACCCCAAGCTACCCTCAACCTGAAACACCTAAAAAACTCACCCTCAGCCCCCATCTCCCGCAACCTGACCCCTGACCCCGAACCCCCAAAACCCTCAACCATCAACCAGACCCTACATCCCTGAACTCAAACCTCTAGTTACCTGTGTTTTTGAAACCCTAGATCACCCAAACCTTAAACTCTGAAAACCTGAAAGCCCTTGAGCCCTGCCTTGGCTCTCTTGCTCTTTGCCTCTTGAGGCCAGCCCTCCTCGTTGAGGCAGAAAGGGAGCTGTCGCAGCCTCGCTTTCCCAGCTGGTTTGGGGCTTGATGGCGGCAGCGGGAAAAACTTGTCAGGTTTTACAGGGATGGCGCCGCCCTTAAGCCTGCACACCTCCACGGAACCCGGGCCCTGGGCTTGTTTGTTGTTTGGATTCTAGAATGTGGCGAAGGTTGGATCTGGCATTCAAGACAGGCCGAAGTGCTCCCGCAGGCTGGGGCCTTTGCTAGTCCCGCATGATGGTTTTGAGGTTCTACTTCCTCTCAGGCCATCGGATGATTGAGCTGCAGTACACGGGCTGATAGACTAACCCTTATTGACCTGAGATTTAAGCCAGTACCGGCTAGGAAGCCTCGATATTGATTGCAGGCGACTAATGTATGTACTTACAATATTGACGTACGCTGACTAGCATTATATTGCCTGTATGCTTCGAACAAGATGCATTTTCAGTGTAACTGGTAGGAGGACGCCCATGGGGGGTTTGCACGAGATCCCTGAGGCACTGAAGCTTGCCAAAGCACTCCGGACCAAGCCACATATCAGATCTATGGAGGATCTCACGCCGCTGGAGTAGTGCACAACACAAGGAGGAGGATGGCATTGTATGAGGCTTGACCTTAAGCCCGAGACCCTGAAGTGTCTGTGACTTGAAGGGTTCTTTGGTGTTTTCACTCGCTACGGCAATATGCTTTCTAAGGTCTCAACCAACGGTTGAACTCAGTTGGGTGGAAACAAAAGAATTAGGGGGTTTGCTACCAAGCACAATTCTACAGAAACATCCATCCGCCTCGAGCTTACTGGCCCCATACACTAAGTCTGAGTGAAGGGAGTCACACTTATTGATGTTTAGGAAACTGGGACCAGCCTGATCCCTGTACGGCCCCCTACAATCCTACATACAATCCCCTGTCATGGTACCTACCTACATTGACTCCTCCGCTCCCTAGCAAACACGTGTGAAAGTATAGCTGAGCCTTGCAAACTGGGACGCGGACAGTGCCACAGCGGCTGCCAAAGCTTGGCAACCGAGGTCCTGCAGTTGAGCAGATGGCGGGGCTCGGTACCATGCCGGAAGCTACCATGGGACGCCCTGAAACGCACAGCTGTCTTTTTCCAACTCTTTTCAGGTTGCTCGTTTGTTTTTTTTGGGGGGTGAACTTTGAGAGAGGGTGCTTGTGGATTTTGGTGAGGTTAGCGGTCAGAGCGGTGAAACGTGTTGAGCCAAGTAACATGTCGCAGTTTCCTGAAATAGGGGCACCCTTAAAGATGCTCCCGGATCTAAAGCTCATGTTCAGGACTGTAGTGGGGCGCTGAGGAATGTTGCATGCGTGTGTGGATAGGAAAGCGAGTTTAAGGGGCTCCCTAACAGAGTACTTGTGGAGTCCTTTCCCGCAATTCTAGTCATTCCTGAAAAGAAGTGCCAATCTTCCGTAAGCCTCAAAACGTTTTGCAGGACCCGTCCTCCAAGCGTGTCTCGTACACTTCAGCCCACCCTGGCATCACGTTACGCCCAGGCCAACCCCAAGCCAAAACAAGACAAGCCTCAATTATGCTATCTCAGCCTAACTGGCACATACGTGGGAGTTAAAGAGGGAAACATAGGTCCTAATATAGGTTCTCATATATGGGCTCTTCTATGGATCCCCTATGCTCTAAGCACCAGTAAATAAAAGTTGGAGGGCAAAGCCGGGCATGTAGGGCTTGTGAGTGGAAGCGGGCAGCAAGGTTAGAGATCAGGCATCTTGCGATATGTGTTGAAAGAACCGCTAAAGACTGCGAGCACCTGAGTCCCACTGTTGATGGACCAGAAAGCTTCATCACCTTAAATACTAAGCCCATGCGAGGTTTGGAAGTGCGGTATAGATGGGGTCAGGCAGGATTTTGTCGATGCATTTGGAGAAGTAGTGTCCTAATCTGACTAAGTCTCAGATGCCCGTCTGCCTCATACGATGAAGTTCTATTGTTTGAATTCGGATACTTATCACATAAGACTTTGGGTTAAGGCTTCCTGCAGGACTCCAAAGACTGTTTGATGCTTGCGGGACAAGGTACTACATCAAACTCAACATATCGTTCTACATGGCTCGTGCTACGTAGCTTTTACTGACCAGGATTTCAAACACGAGCACGGTTTCCTAAATCTACATTTCATCATGTTGGTTCGCAGTTGGTCGCGACACAGTTCTGAGCTACAATTATCTCTATGCTCAAGTTTCACTGGGAGACTCGCAAGGATCTTGCGGCGCACGACGGGAACCTACACAACTGGATAATGTCACTTCGGGGTATATTCGAATAGACAGACCTCAGATAGGCACGAAGAACTAACTGTTCCAAATGGGTTTTTAGTTTCAGGACGCAAGGTGTCAAACTCCTGTATATCCAGGTTTCAGCCCCAAGACACCTCTGTAACGAACGTGCGGATCTGTGCAAGGATCCTTGCACGATCCATGTGGTTTCTCAATGCGGGAGTAGCTGCCTTATGGCGATTCGCTTGAAAACCCCCTACTCAATCCTTAATCTTTGCGCAAGGAAGTTACGTTCATCCTCACAACGGTGCAAGGTTTGGGAAGCCCCATCTACAATTATTTGGCACGACAACCAACAGGTTGGACCGAGTTTTCGCTACAAGATCGTAAGCTCTGAAATCTCGGAGCTCTAAGGCCTAAACCCTTAAGCCCCAAATCCTTTACTCACCGCTTGAGCCCAAAACTGGCTGAAAAGTTGTATACCATCTGTAAGGGCATGCCGAAGTTGCGAGTCTGGCCATTGAGGCCGGATGTGAAGACTGGAAACTGCACCTGCGCTCTGAAAACACAAGCCAAAGCTTGCATGACATTGTCTGCCTAGACCCGGGGAATCTTGGTATTAGAGCATGTTTATGGTTGGAGATTTAGGGGTTGGACATCGGATTTTGCGTTCAAGGTTTGTTGTCATTGACTACGGGGTCAAGGGACAACTTTGCAGGGGTGGCTAAGGGCCTCTGCATGGAGATGGCATAGTTGAAGTCTGCTTCTGGCCCCCCAGAAAGACACCGCGTACGTACAGGCAACCCCATTTTGAAGGAAACCAGCCGACTTCGAAACAAGAGTGGCTCAAAAGCCTTTGAAGCAAGCCTTTCCTTTTCAGCTTCCCAAGGATCTACCCGTATGGAGTTTCTGGGTCCTGCTTGGGGCTCCTTACAACGGGTAATACAGTATTCGGTGGGTGCGTAGAGGAACATTAACTTTGAGAATCACACAATTGAACCGAATGAAGGCATTCTCTTGTGACCTTGTGAGAGGGCCGGAATGCCGGTCTTTAGGTCTAGTAAGGGTTATGGCGATAGGAAGCGTAGGAGAGCCAATTACATTATTTCCTCATGATGTGTATTTTGGAACCACGGGGGGAGGGCTGGCTTGGTTAGCCGTTTTTTAATTCTGGGCTTCTTGTTGAGTTCGCATCTCAACCAAATAGAATGGGCTGGAGCATCGAGGATTTTAGAACGTTTTCTTCCATATCTTAAGGTGTAGCTGTGCCCAAGTAAGCATGGTCCAATTCATTGGCTCCTTAGACGTTGTGTATGCCTTCTTGGATTTTGTAAGGCTCCATTTCCACATCGTTTGCGAAATGACCCCGGTATTGTTGCAAGCCCTGATTCGAATTTATTGCATCCCAATACTGTGAGTACAAATTGCAGAACGACTGGTGGCAAAGAAAACTGGGTCTGAAGAGACTCTTTCTTGATCATTTGCTCGTTCTTGTGATGACGTTGGTAACGCTGCCGTTGTTGAAGATGACTCGGCTTTGCCTTCTTACTTTCCCTAAAGTACTTCCCAGTTTCGGACATCGCGTTTGCTCCCACTTTGGCATCCATCCCACTGCTTCCGCATCTTAATACTTCTACTGCGAATGTCGCTACAGGCATGCTTGCTTAATATAATTCCCTTCTGGTTGCTGCTGTTACACCCCCCGCCCCAGGGCTTACCAATTCATTAAGCCATAAGCCGGAACCAACCGTCCTCCCGACTAGCATGGAACCTCACTCATCGCCCTTGTAGAAGAACTCAAAGGGTCTAAACCCTGCCTCATTGGTTGTCTGTAGGAGGCTCGACACCTGACATGTCAAATTCCCAAATGCAGGGGCTAACAGGGACCACAAAAAGGGTACATAGCGCGTGGGTGCCCTTGTATCCGGACCCCAGCTAAGCTTTAGTCAAAAGGCCCTTTCCTAATCATCGCGGTCAGGATATGGCTGACTCCGGTCTTGTTGGTTATGATCGGGCAGCTTGTGCCATGAGATTTGTCCTCTGCCATCCACAGGTACCGTACTAAACTTCCTGAACCTCCGATACAGCCCGAATGGAAACTACTGAAACATCCTTGAAGCAATGTCAAGCGAGCAAAGGGTTGGGGAGGGCTTGCATGTTTCAAGATTTTTATGGGCTTGGGGTTCAACAGGACTAAAGGGTTAAACAGTTTCCGAGGATTCAGGGCGCCTCATTGGAAGGAATGAAAGCCTTAAAAGACTCATGGAGCTTGAGACTCTGCAAGCTGTAGGTACTTACAGCTCATTTGGCAAGGGAAACGGGAAGTTCTTCCGAACCACAGCTTGGGGGTATGTCGAGGCTGTTTTGGAGCCTTTCCGAATCACATCTCCTACTTAACCCCGAAATGATGCCGTCATATCAGTAAATCTGCTGAGCCTTTCCACTATTAGCTACGTCACTGCATTGGGATCTCCTTTTCAGGGGATCTTCGTGCTTCTATTCTGGTCAATGCCTGAGCCCTGACTGATAAGCCCTTTTGGAAATCATAAGCTGGAATCGAAAGAGCGATAAACTGGGCATCACATCGTGACGTTAAATAAGCCACTGAGGACTTATTCGTATTTACTTCGCTGGCCCCCTTTTCCTTTTTTCCTACGAAGTCACGGAGCCTAAGCCATAGTATCCATTTTTGGGATCGCTACGGGAGCATCCCCTGTCAATCTTAAATCTTCTGCCATCTGCTCGGGGGCAAGCCGCACCTCTCCTTGGACCTTGACAAGGCTGCACCAGTCCAGCACATCCTTCGGGCAGGTTCCTCTTTGTGTCGTAGCAGGGGATATAGGGGATGAAAAGGAGCAAAGGACTTCAAAGAGTTTGGATCTTCTCGAAACCTGCAGTCTCTTGGATACTGAAGACATCTGTACAAACCTGTTCCCAAAACCTGTCCCCATACCTGATCACAAAGTACTGGCCCCTTCTGCCTTATGCTGTCCAGACATTGTGTTGCTCAGCCGACACAGGCGTCCTCTACGATGGCCAGGCCACCCTTGGCAAGCTCGCAAAGTTGAGATTGTATAAAACCGTAAAGGTTTCAAGTGAGGCAGCAAGATTACATCTGAGAAACATCTGACTAGGTCGCGGTTTCAGTGGCACTGGGTTCATTTTCTCAAGAACTGGCCTAAATGACAACATCAGATCAAGCCACGGCCCTGCGCATCGCGAAGGGCAACTTTTCGATCTACTCGTCTTAAAAATGCCATTCTGGATGAGTGCTCTCTTACATCGCGCTCATTAAGTTGAAATTGATGCACTGAACTTAATACACTCCGTTTGCTTCGGTGTCTCCTTCCCCTTCATAGTGACACTTCTCTAAAGAAAGCATTGCATGGTAACCACATTTTGCACAGGGGGTAAGTTCGTCGTTTGAAAACGGAGGTGAATACCTTTGGAGGACCCCCCTCCCTGTAAAAGTTCAAAACTAGGATCTGTACTAAAAACACAACACAACAGTGGCACCAGGAAATCCAATTGGGTTTCGGGTCCACAAGCAAAAAATCCAATCTCATAATGGTCTCACTTCTCATGGCTGCAACCGCTGTTGCTTGCTCCTGCTGTTGAACACCAATCGCAACCCCACCGTACAATCGGAAGAGTTGTGGACTTGAGCGCTGGAAGACCGCACATTTGGACCAGCAACACCTGAATTAAACAGAGTCGGGCCAAGAATGGCGCCAGGAAAAAGCAGAATCGGATCAACAAGAGCGCTGGTTAAAGTAAAGCCCAAGCAACAGGACAATGGAGAATGGGGTCAAAATTAGTGCCCGCAAAAAGCACCAAGAAAGCACCAGACAAGCACCAGAAAAGCGCCTGAAAAGCACCAGAAAAAAGCACAACTGGAGTAAAACTTGCACCAGGTGTTTCGGACAGGTGGAGCAATTTTCTGACGCAGGAGTCTCCGCGCATGAAACAGAGAGCACCAAACAAAAACACAAACTAGCAAACACACTCACAAGAAATGGCACCAGAAAAGCACAACAAAAAAAACACAATCGGATCAAAACTAGCACCAGAAAAAGCACCAGACAAAGCACCGGAAAAAAGCACAAACTAGCAAACACATTCACAAGAAATAGCACCTGAAAAGCACAACAAAAAAACACAATCGGATCAAAGATAGCACCAGAAAAAAGCACAATCGGATCCAAAATAGCACCAGACGAAAGAATCAGAGAAAGGGCATGGAATTTGTAAGGAAATAGCACAAGGTTCGTGCTTTTTTTGCACATTTAGCACCAGCAGACGCAAACACGCACCAGAAAAGCACAAAACAACACAAGCTAGCAAACACACTCACAAGAAATGGCACCAGAAAAGCACAACAAAAAAAACACAATCGGATCAAAACTAGCACCAGAAAAAGCACAAGAAAAAAGCACAAACTAGCAAACACACTCACAAGAAATAGCACCAGAAAAGCACAACAAAAAAACACAATCGGATCAAAAATAGCACCAGGAAATCCAAGGGTGTCAGAGCCGAATCAGAGCCGAGTCGGAGCCGATGTTTGTGTCTTCGACTTCGAGAAGGAGAGCCCGGGATCAGCCCAGCCCAGGACCAGCCGGACCACCAGCCCAGGACTAGCGCAGTCAGGACCAGCCCAGCCAGGACCAGCCCGGCCCAACCAGCCAGACCCAGGACCAGCATGTCAAGATCAGCCCAGAAGGACTGGGCCAACCCAGCCCGGAACCAACCCAGCTGGCTGGCTGCGCAGGCCAGCTCTGTTTGCCAGACAAATTTTCTCAATCTGCTTAATCATTGCGCTCCTGAATTTGATGCTGCTGGGGGCGAGACTGTAGAGAAGGTTTGCAAGCTCAGTGTAGGGGCACAGGGTTGGAGTAGAGGGAAGCAGGTTCCGGGTTGAAGGCTCTAGGGTGCGGTCTGATCACGCATGTTGCCATTCTTGGGCATTTTGCTGGCCCTTTTTGGTGCTTCTGTTTGTGCTCACTATTACAGGGGCGGGGGTCCTCCAAATGAATACCATGTATGCTTGCGCGGACCCGAGGCAGAGCCCCGTGACTCACCAATAACTTCAGGTGGGTAATGGTCAGGTGGCTCCAAATTCAAGGCTCACAGAATGCTTGTGTGTAATGGTAGCTGGGGTGTATGAACGTATTTTCCTTGAAATGTATATACATGTATATACATGTATATATATATATGTATATATAAAATGTATATATGTGTATAAGTATGTGTATATGTATGTATACATATATATATATATATCTATAAATGCACATGTATACGGACATATGCATGAAGTTGCATATATCCATACTTTTAGACATGTATTTTGTACATACAGGCCTCCTATTGCGGAGCTACCTGAGAAGTGCAGCCACAATCCAAGGATGGGGCCTCACTGAGCTCCTTCATCGCGACGCGTGCCGCAGGCACCGATGGGGAGAAGAGACTCCTGTGGCCAGCGGCTAGTGGTGCTCTGCGTGTGCGATCCAGTCTGGGTTTGGATTTTAAGGACTTCAAGCTAAGGTGTCAGGAAAGGCTCCAGAAGCTTATGCAAATGTCTGAAAGCAGTTTAAACTGACGGATGCTCCTCAGGACTATACTGAGCAAGCGGATGCCACTCTTCACAGAGTTAGAATCTGGGGATGGGGCGCTGCGAGTGTTAGGCATGTATGGATAAAGCATGGGAAGGGTAGACTCAACTTTTTCATGGCTTCTTGAGAACCCCAAAAAAGCCACATGGCATCATGCTAGCCGTGACCATCAACACTACTTCTGACTGCCAAATTACTGCCATCTCAACAAGTGATTTCTAGAATCCACGTGATATGACGCCCCACAAAGGCACATGACAGAGTCACTAAGCCCCAGAATCCTTGCGCTTTCTTCCGCAAAGCGCCTGCAAAAATGGCAGTGCTTCTCCCCTACGCTGCAGGGTTGGGATTTCAGAGTTCAAGGATTTGGGGTCGAATGCTTGCGGCCAGGCTTTAAATCAATGTTGGCTGGAGGACTGGAAGATCTCTTGTTTGTGGTTCAGGATTGAAGGGGGTCAGCAGGATTGGGAACTGTTGTGAAGTTTGTCGTTGTTCTTCTCAGTATTGCCTATGGTATTGCGGGCGAAAATAACACCAAACATACGAGGTCTATACTGAATTTCGAAAAGTTGTCAGCACCTTGCGGCATCAAGTATAGCACAGCACCAAATCCGGGTACTTCTGGACCTCTCCTTTTCAGACTCTCTGTTTTAATCAACATATGTGGGGGAAGCATTGTCTTGCCGTGCAAAAGGATGGCGAGTGTGGCTTCAGGTCCTGACCACAGCACTCGGCCAGAACGTCTGGAAACCAGGTGTACGGTTGTTTAGCTTACGAATGCTCTTCACCTTGTAGGGCGAATGATTCCAATCTACGGGGGTCATGCCCAAAGGAAATAGAAGGGTGCAAGCCGTGCGAGAAAATACTCGTAGGTTACGATGAAAATGAAAACCGGAACGCTGTGCTGGGATCGCGGCAAAACTGTAGGGACTTGCTTGTAAGGTGAAACGAGATAGGGCATTTTAGTTGGGGGAAATTTTGCTGGTGAATAAAGCCAAAAGAAGCTGGGGGATGCAACCTTGCAAATTCGGCTTGCTGGCATCCCCTTTGCATCCTGAACCATTCACCCTCAAAAATCGGTTTGGATGGGGCCATCATTAGGTTCCATGCATCTCATTAATTTTCATGTGCAATCCCTACAACACTCCATAATCCCTAAACCCGTATATCCCAACATGCAAATTCCATGTTAATTTGGGGGCTGCCTGACCCAGCGGCGTGCTAGACCGTCACAGCGCCTCGCCACGGTCGGCACCTCCCAAAGACGAGTGTTGGGTGCGGGGTTAGGGTGGTTTTCAAATCCATACAGGTGAGAAAGGCAATCATGCACCAGCTTCGGTTCTCGGTGTCCAAGAAAACACGGTCATTGCAAGGCCAAAGGTTGCCAGACCTCCATCCACACCAGATCAAAAATGTGGCCAAAACCGGGGGTCCCAATTTGGGGTTGGGGTTCGCGAATTGCTTGTCCATAGGGCTAGTTGAAGGATTGGATACACTGGGGGCTTTAAAAAGGAATGCCCCAAACTCGTCCCAATGCAAGGTCCCAGATCTCAAGCGCCCGATTGCGGAAGTTGTTGTATCCCTCGAATGGTACATGTCTACCTTAATCCCAGGCTTTCAAGTCCGTGATGGCTTGTTTGTGTGTGACAAATGGACATTCCAGCAGTGTCGCTACAAGGATAACGGGCACGAACTACCTAAACGGTGAATAAACTTTCAGGGATAAAAAGTTCACCGACCCCTGAGACCGCCACTTTTGGTATGGTTTGCAACCACCTGCTGGATCCATTCTTTCCATGCTGCTTGCATGCATCCAGACTGTGCTAAAATACATCCTTACATTTATTCAGTTCTTTTCCTGCAAGCGCATGACCCTTGCCAAAAATTTTTGCCAACGTGTTCACGTTAGAATACTGAACGTAAGTCAGAGTCCCAAAGACAAGGGCCCATAACTTGAAGCGTTTGTCACATGGAGCAACGCAAAAATTCGCACAGCGCCTGGGTCGCATAAGGATCCTCCAAATATTTTGCAGCGGCTCGATATGAAAAACGTATAGGGGGCATTCATCATAGACATACACAGATCACGTTAAAAGCATCCAATGCTGGGTTCAGAGGCGAATGGCAGGAAAAGTTTATGTAACAACTAGCCAGCAGCAACCTACAATGTAGGTGGTTTGCTGACAAAGGTTTTCTGAAACCAGCTCACCAGACCATGCACGTGATTGTCTTGGCTCAATCCGTTCAAGCACAAAACTGCTTCCATGAAGTTCTTGCCAAAGCGTGTCCCCAATTTTGTCAACCAACATACCTGAAACGCTGGGACTGAAAGAGAATGACATACGCTGAGGACCATGCAAGACAATTTGTATAAACCACGCGCCTTGACCTCAAAACATCCCACAAGCACAACCCTTTCTGCCAAAGAGCGCAAGCAACTTGGGATGTAAACCAAGTGAAAGCCAGAATCTGAACCTTGGATGGTAACCCCTGCCCTGACCCAGACGAACATAGAGAACCTCGTTTGCCAATCATCATGTAATCTAAGACATGCAGCAAACAGGCACGCTGAAGTTGTGACAAATTCGAGCCAATATTGCGAATTTAATGTGTTGCGAGTTTGGTCCAACATAGGGAACAAGGGAATCGAGAACGCCCCTGCGCGACAGCGATTGTTCCGCTTACTGCATTCTTCCAGGTACAGCTGTCATTTTTTTGACAATCCTCATGCTCTTCGCGCTGGCTTCTGCCATCATTCCAATCATTGCGGCTGATGATATGTATGCTGGCGTCTCTGACTTCCGGTCCAAGGATCCACTACATCTAGAATACCCAAGATCAAAAGGCGGTCATGAGACCAGATGCTCGCCGATTTCCTGATACCCATGCGAAATGCCAAATGGTCATCGATTCACGCCCTCCCTTGGCCCGGCGGCTGTCACATAGTCTTGCACGCTTTGGGCATCTGATCTTGTTCGAACTTTAAACTAGGAGTACGGTCCTTATGGTCCAAGCGTGGACGAGAAGCGCCGCCATTTGAGAATCTACGCAGGTGCTCCAAGGCTGATGTGGCTCAAAACCTGGAATCCGAAAACTCAAAGTGAAGCCTTGAAAGTCACAGCAAACAGCAGGAACTTGGGGAAAGAGGTATGGATAACTTCGAGTGTCCCTGAGGAGCTATGATGGCGACATGCAACAAGCACGAGACTAATCCAGAAGCCTCAGAACAAACAGTACTCCTACCTTGTCTCTTTGTGTATATATGACTATGGTGCACAATACCTCAAACATATGTCGCAACCCGGTTCCAGACCTCCCTCCCTGAATTTCGTTCAGGATCTGCCTGCTAAGGTTTTGTTGCTCAGGGTTCCTGGTTCCCAATAGTGACACTGGAACATGTGCGCACCGCTATCCTTCAGGAACCTCACTTGGACCTGCCAGGCTCATTGTCTAGATCCCCTGAGCTATATATCATTAAAGCATTCCCACGAACGACCTAAGACTTAGACCTTCTAAAGCGCACATCGCGAAGAGCCCTACCTCATGTGGCCTCCAACTGCAAGAGCTCTTCACCCACAAGTCGCCGAGCCTTTGGCCAGGAGGCCCATGCTCAGGGAGCGAATCCCACCCCGTAATCCAAACAATCATGGTAAAAATTGGTAGTGATCATTGTAACGGTGACGTCTAGTAAAGGTAGTAGTAACAGTAGCAATTAACAATAGCCACACAGTAAGAGTGATGGTCATGTCCAACACCCCCAACGCCGAGCAACAAGAGCTATCCCCTGGAATGACTAAAGGCTGTTCGGGGACAGATTTGGTGAAAGCAACTAACCACGTTCTCAAATTCACAAAAGTCATGGGCCCAGCCTTGGACCCCAGATCTGCTGGGTATTAGGGGAACCTCAAGCTCAGAAATATGAAGAATTTGAGCTGCAGCTTCGTTTCGACATTCCTCCTATATTTGCAGCNNCCCCCCCCCCCCCCCTCCCCCCATGTTAAAGACCCCGATTAACTGCTATGCTGTTGAGAAACACCTGAACCGACTATCAGCCGTTAACCTTTAAACCCAATAAGGTTAAGATCACGCTAGGGCTTCTTCTTGTATGGAAGATAGATGCCTGTAGTCAAATACTTCCCAGGGTCCTTAACCTAGATCCTGCTAGATCCTGATCTCTGACTCTAACTTGGAGCGTCCTCGTCTACCAACATGTCTGGCCTTGATCTGGGGTTTCCGAGAACTAGGGGTAGATTCGGCAGTACCTACTCCGAGCACTACCTTATTGTTCGCGGGAACCCCTCTTTGGGACATGGGGCAAAAGGATGAAAGATGGTCGGGTCTTCAACCTCCATCCCCAACCCCCAGACGCCAATGGGCAGCACTGAGCAGGTTTGAGCCCCCTTTAGCCACGAACACTTCTCTTGCAGGAATGGGATTTTCCTGTCTTACGTTGCTAGGAGTCTCCGTGCAGGTGTAGTATCCTTACAGGACCGAGGGGATATGCCATGATGGTTGGATACTTTGAAGATGACCGGAAATCTTATTGCAGTGAATGACTGCAGAGACAGAAGAGGACCACTTTCACTTGCAAAATGAAAAGTGGATCGCTCAATCGCTTTAGTTTTTAATGCAGAGCTGTTTGCAAGCCGATTTCATTGGAACGCCGTACCTGGCACTTAGAAAAATGAGAGTATGGATCCTTATCCCGAGAGCCTAAACCGGAATACTCTGCAATGATTTGTTTGAAGCAACCGTGGGAAGCTGCCAAATACAGCGTACTACCTTGACTGTTACAGGGCTCCTCGAGATTCCCCAGGTCTCTACAGGAGAACTTTGGCAGAGCAGCAGCAGGCTCCATCGAAGGGACTTCGGTTTCCTCTAAACATTTTGCCTCTAGGTATAATGATGATACTCGTAAATTCTCGTGATATACAATAATTTGGCGCAAAAGATGTATATCATACTACTATGTTCCGGGTAGTGAAGCCTTCGCCTATGCCATGTAATCCAGACTGCTGCAGCCTGAGCCCCCCCCTTGACACGACCGTCAAAAGTTTCCCGTTGCCAGAGCTGAGCATTCGCTTTTTTCTCCGCAGACTAGCTTGGCACCATGCAGGCTATTGGGATGAAGACGACTGCACTGGCCACATGCATGGCACCAGTCAGCAAAAAACTCGTCCTTCGAAGTCGAGCCCAAAGGGCGAAGGTCGTTTCAGAGTTTAGGGCATGGTACATAATCACGTGGGTCCCACAGGAGTTCCTACATAAGTGCATTGGGCCTCAAGTATTTTTCTATACAGGTAGCTGGACTCTCTGGGAAGCTTTAATCTCTTGATGCCGTATTTCAATCTCAGTTAACATGGCTCACTTTCTTCCAATTTTGACCTCATAAAGCTCATGCGGTGCAGTTCTGCTTACAGGCTTTGGGGCCGAGTTGATGGGCTCGGTACAGAAGTTTCGGGTCCTGTAGTCGCCTGTGCGATCTGCCAAGTAGCCACCAATCCACGCCCCTGCGCCATTGGTGGCTGACTTGAAGGAAGTGATCGCCTCGGTATCCGACACAGCTTATCGTTTGCTGATTTCGCTGTTCAAGATGAAGAGTGCGGCAACATGAACATGGTTTCAAAATGCCAGAACGATGCGAAAGGCAATGGAAATCCGCGTGCTCAAGGGAATCTTTGGGCTCCAGTTGGGATCCGTACATCACTATCTCAATTTTGGGCTTGAGATGTCCGAATGCCTTCTAGGATAAGCGGCACGCTTTATCCTCCTCCCGAGGGTAATGCTTTACCTTAACAGTTTGTGAATTCGAAATTAGGGCTCCTGCCTTAGGTTACAGCTAGTCTTCCTCAAAGACCGCCTCTACTGGGAGTCTACATAATGTGGCGGCCAATGCTGCATTGCTTGGTTCTTTGCTGGAGACGTCCAGGAGCTTGGGGCTTAATTAGGGCCTAGCGAGGGGTGAATACGCCACACAGCTAGTCTATTGCATGCATCAGTGCTTCAATAAATCTGTGTACCCTTTCTCGTGAGAGACCGTGAGTACAGATCCCGCAGCATGTAGCAGCATGCATGCCTGCGTAAATACCTAAATACCAGATGCATGCATACATACATCACTACATACATACATGTACGCATGCGAAGTCACAAACGCATATGCACATATGCATGCCCGACAAATTACATGCACAGAGATTTTTGACATTTCTGCGTGCCTACATATAAGTACATATACACATGTACAACTACGGCACGAACGTCCAACCTGACACCCTGTGGGAATGATGGTAAGGTCCACAGTATCCCAAATGGCTAAGCAGTCAACTTGTGCATCATTGGACCCAAGGTGCGTGCAGTATAGGCACATGGGACCGACATCCTAAACTTTTCATCCGGAAGTTTGCACACAGTATGATATGTGTCTAAACATGTACAGACGCACTTGTAACTGTATGAGTGGGAATAAATGTTATGTGTACCTGTACGCATGTAATATTTAAGTCTCTATATTGTCTTCGACCCTTTGGGATGACTGGAGCATGCGTACAAGTTGCCGACCAGCGCCCACGATGCTTTGGCAGAACCTTACACGAGTTTTGTTCAGGGAGTCCCATAAGCTACGAAGGAAAATGGCTCCGTTTTTCAATATAAACCAGTTTTGTAGTTGACATGGATGCCAGGGCTCCCATGACGGGCGCAACAGGCGTGCTGCGGAACCCATAAGGTTCGGCGTGAGAATGGAGAGCTTTGGGTTACAGCTCGGGAGAACGCAACAATATCCTTAAAACTCTGACCAACCAAGCTGGTGCTGCAGTGCTGCTGCAGTAGCAGGTTCGGTGATGATTTGAAATCCTATGCCCTAAGGTCAAACCACTAACCGCAGCACAGCAACAGACTCAAAGATGATGGACTGCACGCATGGGACATTGGCCCTGCCCATGGCCGTCCGGCAGACGAAGAGCAGCGCGGCGAGCCAAGCCTGAGGGTCCAAATATCGAACGTCTATATGGTATGGCCCCTTTTGGGGTACCCAAAATATTCGGGGCAATTGGCTAGGGATCCCAAAAAAGACAACGATTTCAACAACTTACCACATAATTTCCCAAAACCTATGTGCATGCTTCGAGACATCCTCGCAACCTACCAAACACGCTTCCCCGCAACCTGCTCCACAAAAAATACTTCCTAATGCCCATGTCCCAATTCTCGAATACTTGCAGCCAAAAACACCTGGCGTGCGGAGGCCACGCCTGAGCAGGTTTGGACTGCAAGCTGGCGTCAGCATAAAGCTTCAGACTCGGTCCAAAAGGTCCTCTGCTATTCTGGCCGAGTGATACGAAACAATACCCTGATACAAAACTCTAGTGATACAATTTGCATCTTAAGAACTGGAACAATATAGAGGGCCCAGGTAAGTTGTAGACAGGACACCTATCATCAAGAGGCCACCGGAGGAGATGAAGAGTACAGCTGCCCAGCCGCGGCCGAGCTTCGAGGCAATCTTCCTTAATCTACGAGGTAGTCTCCTCCCCTCATACTCACAGTTTTTCTGGGGAATCTGATATAGTGCCGATCTGTATGTGTCTATGTATACGCGGTGTGTGATTGGAGGAGGAGAGTGCTTCATCTCGTCATATAGGGGCTATTCAGGAATCACGTCGGGCAGCTTCAGGTTAAGGGCTTGGGCCTAACGGAGAAGGTGTATTGCGACGCACAAGTGTAATCGATGCTAGTTTCTCTAGAGCACCATCAGTAAGAATCCAGTTATAGCATGGACGATGTTAACTGTACCTAGACAGCGGTGCGTCCGTGTAGGGATCTCGATTTCAGCCCTTTAGCTTGGCGACGTTGGACCTCCGTTGGAACAACAAGGACTACAGAAAAGAGTTGCTCAATTGTGATACCAAGGACCATGCAGCTCTGGAAATTTCTCATATACTGATTCTAAACCGTAGGCAGACAAGACATGGAACATGCCCCGTGCTAACCCAAGGCTTCATTCAAGTCAGCGCTAAATCTTTGTATTAACACCCACTCGATCCTGAAACCTGAAGCCTTACCCAGACCCCCGAGAGGATCTCGAAAGTAAGGCCCTTTTTGAGGCAGGTTACCCAACGCTAGTATAGGGTACTCTTATGAGGAATCTTCCTTTCTAGACCCTCACAAGAGGTACAGATTTTTGTGCTTCTGCAATGAATCTAGCTTCGGTGTTGCAAAGTTGAGGGCTGCCAGCGACAGATTCTCGGCAAAACGCAGAGCCATAAGCCACGAGGGACTCAGGCCGAAATCTCTACCTGAGGTTTTAGAGTTGAAGCTTTGGGTTGAGAATTCACGGAAATGGGCGTAGAGTTCAGAGTTTGGAGCTTAGAGCTGAGACCTTGGGTTGAAAGACAGGCCTCTCAATGTTGGCGGTTTATTTGCAGCTTTCGCTGCTAAAGATTGGATGCGAATTTCCTGGGCATGACAAGGGGATCCTGCTTTCGAAATTTGGAGGTTTCTCGAAAAACTGTCTCGCCCTCTCTCTCCGTCTCTGATCTTGAAGAGGGACGCCTGCTCTGCATCTCCGCCTCAATCCCCCATGGCCGTCCATCTCCAACTGCGTGCATCGGTCACCAGCACGCCGAAGTGGCGGCAACCGCAGGTCATGGCCCTGGCTTCGCGGTAGCCCAGTGCTGGCCCCCCCGGCCAGCATCACCAGCAACATTGACTATTTCTTCAGTTTACCCTGCTCTGCACGGCCTAATCAGAAGCATCGTCTATGCGCCCGTATCATACTCCCTTCTCACAAAGTCATACACGAACAATCATTCCGTGAACCTCAGCTAGTCCTCTGCAAGTAATTCTGGTTTCTTTCAGGTTTGGGACCACAAGGCCTTGGGTTAATGGTTTAGTGCACTTTGCAACTTGACCAGGCAAAGGCAAGAATTTACTCAACATGCTTCCCAGCTGCGGAAGAAGAGCGGAACATACCGCAGACTCACTGATGCAGCTATTTGCGTCAAAGCCCACATGACCTGGTTCAGGCATGTTAATTATGTTGGGTGCATTGCACCCCCCTGCAATTTCACATGCGCATGCATGTGTATATATATATATACATGTATGGATATACATCTTCATCCCTTGCAATCCCCATGTCAACGCTTATCATCTAGCAAGCTGCATATCATGCTACAAGGGTATACCGGTCTTTCTATGCACATGCACCCC